TAAATGAAATTTGGTAAGAAGATATTTTGAGACTCTGACAAGGACATAGGATACTTTTTATCCCGGAAATCATCCCTTAAGGGGGTGAAAATGGGAATGAAAGCTTGTGTGGAGAATCAAGCTAGGGATGAACTCGAGCGAAGCGAGGGTGAGTCGCTAGTTCGTATATAAAAATAAAATTTTGTTCTAATATATTACGAATGATTAATTGAATATTTAGCAACTTCTGCTTTTTTAAAGAAAAATAGACTATATGTATTCTCAATTAGTTTGTGAAGACTATATCATATATATAACTATAGACAATAGAGCTTTAATTACATACATACGCCATATTATGCTCCTGTACTTCGATGGCGGGTTAGATTTCCCTAGTTCACAATAGTAGAGGAGCCAATAGGCAATTTTGTGATTTACTCAAAAGCGGCAGATTAACATAAGGGCTAAGGGCGATCACATATAGGTCCTCTGTATAATAAGGTCGCGCATCCAGATTTATCTTGCGATTATCTAGCGATTATTTATGACATATTTTCAAAGAAATTTATTATTGTTGTTTTGTTTGTTGTTTATTATACGTATTTTTAATGTAACATACTTTTTAAATACGCATAGCATTATATCCTTTCATAATTTTTTTTAAACCGTTAGCACAAGAAATACAATATACTTTCTACTATCTAATATTCAAACTCCAGTAGTTCCCCACGATGCTCGAGTAAATCCCCATTTAGCATCTCGGCCTCCCCTACTGCAAAGTTCGAATAATCACAATGATATTTGTTTGTTTGGTTTGACAGTGCTCATAACGTCACGTGTACATTAAATATTTTTTGGAAAATCTTATTAAAATAAACATTATTCTCGATACAGAGGCCGAATCTATAGTTTTTAGAATTTTTGTCTGTCTGTTTGTCTGTTACCGCATCATAGAAAAAACACTCGAGGTATTTTGATGAAATTTGCAATGGTGATAGCTGGTTATTCGGGTCAACATATAGGATACTTTTTACCGCCGGAAAATATCTCATTTCTGAGAAAAAATACAAAAACTGAAATGTACTCGTAAGATTATTACTAATATGTAAAACATAAGAATTTGGTTTTTGATCTAATGATTTAATGCTAGTTTAAAATAATTACTTTTATTGATTGAATTTAATTTATTATAATCAAACCTATTAAAATGTAACAAATACAATATAAGAATCCTGAAGAAGAAGAAGTTTAGACGTAAGCGAAGCCGCGGGTTCTGCTAGTATAAATATAAAATTCTGAGTCGAAAATGAAATAGTTATTATTATCGATACATAGGCCGAATCAGTTTTTAGAATTTTTGTCTGTCTGTGTATCTGTCTGTCTGGCAACGTATCACGAGAAAACCGCTGGACAGATTTTGATGAAATTTGGTATGATGATAGCTGGTTATCATAATATCTTATCTATCTGGGAAATCTATACTGAAAGTTAAAATGTAACTAGGAACAAACCCGAGCAGAGCGAGGGTGAGTCGCTAGTACTATATATGATATGTTTCTCGATCTATCAATAATACTGTCTATTATATATCTAAGGTTATATTTATTTACTTCGTATGACTTCGTATTCTACTATTTCAGGACTCTAAATACATTCTTAATTTCATTTACGTAGGTAGGTACTCGAATACTACAAACTAAAAATATATTTTAACTATTAGAACCCGTGGCTTCGCTCGCGCTAAAACTACAAAAAAAAAACTAAAAATTTAGGTTTCATACAAACTTTCATCCCCTATTTAACCCCTTATGGGATGAATTCCGAAAAATGCTAAAACACTTATTAAATTAATTGTATTATTCAAAACATTAATACCAAGTTCCAAGTCATTCTAATCATATATATTTTTTTGGATTGTATTATAATGTGTTTCCCGTGGGAATGAGATGATCTCCCGCGGTAAAAAGTAGGCTGTGTCGACGTGAAAGAAGGACAAACAAACAAATAAACAAACTTCTCATTTTTATAATATTAAATATTGGTATGGTTATGGTTTGTTGACTTTAACTGTCCTATTTTAAAGAAGACATATTTCAAAGGCGTGTTATATCCACACCATTGGTCGTACGCTTGAACCGATTATCTATCGGAGTATGAGACTCGCAAGAATATTTACATACGTCTCTTGAAGCCACCATAGGAATTTAGCTAGTTCTTCGTGTTTTAATCCTTAACTACAATCATAGGGTAAATTTCAAACCCCATGCCAAAACCCATTTCAAAAACCCAAACGATACTTTTCTGCAAATAACTAATTTCTCAGTTCACCATTAAGTCTCAGCTTCCAAGTAATCTCAATCCAGGTTGTGCTTTCACAATATGTGGTTGCGCGTCTAAAGGCAGCTAGTAGCAAAAGGAAAAATTATGCTAAATACCCCTTGTCATTATTTTTATAGCACGTACTAGTCATGTTGTTTCTTTATAATTTAGTTAATTAAACTTTATTTAATCTCACACCACTAGTATTGTTAACGGTTGAGTTGGTTTTGTTAGCTTTTGAGACCAATTCCAAAAAGCTATTTTTTAAGAAGTTAAAATAACAATGTTGATAAAGTGAATTAATTGTTGAATAGATTTTTTTATTATTATTTAGGCACTATGTTCCACAAACATTTCCCTTTTTATCATATATTATTTATATATGAAAAATCAACAATAGTAAATAGTAAGAATTTTAGATAAATTTTAATTTTAGGGTAGAAATCTACCCCACGAAGTAACTAACGTAAGTTAGACTTACGTTAGTTACCTCGTATATATATATAGCGAATATAGTTAAGGGTTAATAACGGTTTTCTGAGAGAGAGCAGAATATCTATACATATTATAAAATTGTAACTAAGCCGAATCTGTACATTAGATATTTTTTGGAAAATCTCATTGAAATAAACATTATTATCAGTACAGAGGCCAAATCTATAGTTTTTAGAATTCTGTCTGTCTGTCTGTCTGTCTGTCTGTCTGTCTGTCTGTCTGTCTGTCTGTCTGTCTGTCTGTCTGTCTGTCTGTCTGTCACCACATCAGAGAATATGTATGGTGAAGCTGGTTATCCGGATCAACATATAGGATACTTTTTACCGCGGGAAAACATCTCCTTTTTGAGAAAAAATACAAAAACTGCAATGTAAAAGTATACTAATGTAAAAGAAGAAATAATTTGGTTTTTGGTCATCTGAACGCGGGCAGAGCCGCGGGCAATGCTAGTTTTAAATATTTATAAATATTATGTCACTTTGCGCCTTTATTACTACGAATACGCCGCTTGCAAGAAATCAAAAACATGTGAAAAAAGACAAGACGAAATAAATATCACTATGTATTATTGCTGTCAAAGACAATTTCGAAAATTACGGGGATTTGACCAAACACTCAATTTGTAATTTAGATTTAGGCCGGGGGACATAAAATTTTCATTTTACAAAACCAATCTACATAAATTTATTTTATTTTGGTCTCTCTTTGTTTCCTCTAAAAAAATTTGAATTACAACTACGATTATTTTCTTATTTTTATAATGAAGTCCCTTTAAATAATCAAGTTTATATTTCAAAAATTATCTAACCGTTAAATAACCTTATTTATGATAAATAAAACTTTTATCAATATTGTTTTATTACAAGCTTTTATGTTAATTAGTTGGCAAGTTTGCATGAGTAAACTCTTGCAAGCTGAATTAGAACCACTTCCTCTTAATCTACAGAGTTGAAATTTTACTATTAGTTCAGTTCCGCTGACAATAACTTTTTATGTCAATTATGATTTGATTCTCCGTCTAGGATTGGCTCCAGACCAAACAACTTCTTAATAGTCAACAATACAGTTTTATATACGCATTCAATTATGATTATAGACCGTTCTAAAATCTACCATGACTTTGGTGCTGCGTCCAGGGTTGGCTTCTGCTTTCATTCTGCTCAGTGGTTAACAGCACAGATACGAAATTTTGTATACGTATTTAATAATAATAGCCCTTTTTAGTCAACCATGACCTGTCTGCACACAGACTATATGAGACCTCCTCGGCAGTCAATGGCACAGACTCGAAATGTTATAAACCCATTCATTCAATTATAATTCAGATGACTTAAATGGTGCATCCACGCTATGACTTACTTGTAAACTATAAAATTAGATAAATAAATTAATAGTAAAAAAAGCTGTCATGAGGACTGCCGACAGAAGTGAAAACTTAAAACTATAAACAAACAGTTGTTATTTTTGGATATTCAAATTATTTGTTGATCTTAAATTAAAATTTGTAAATTAAAACGGTTTACATTTATCTGGTTTTGGCATCTATCGGCACTTTGAGTGTTAGCGTTAACACGTCACGTGACCATGTCGATGACGTTACATGAATTTACTCCCCATCCAAACCTGCCTATAGAAATTTTCACTTTAAAAATTAAAAACAAGCTTTTATTACAATGCGCTTAAAATAAGATAATAAACCAATAAAACCATGTTTTTAATTATTTTTTACTAAAAATTATTAGTATTTGTCTAGTAGGTAGGAACTATCGTCGAAGCGAAGGTGAGTCGCTAGTTTTAAATATAATATACATATACTCAGGATAGGGGTTACTAAACATAAACATTGCGTCACATAATTTTATTATAAAAAATAAAAAGCTATTTATACATAAACATAACAGTCGCAGTAAATTATTTTTATACGAACAACATTAACACTGTGCACTAATAACGAGTAACGATGATAGGCTACGATGACATAAAATAATGCTTGTAATAATAAGTCACTTCGTTGGACAGCTAACGGATGAACGTTGGGGTAATGACTATGTACAAGGCGTTCTACCACAAGCTGTACTACACATATTTTTATATCTTGAATGTATAATTTTTATAATCACTTATTATTTGAATCGAATTTCGCTGAGCAATAAATATATAAATTGGATATTGTATCCTACCACGTAATTAAATCGCCTATTTATTTAATGAAGAGGTCCTGCAACATGACCAGGCGGGCCGTACTGCGAGCTAGTGGCACCGTGTCCACCGATCGATGCACTTTCATCACCACCGCTTGCACCAAAGTCAGCAGAGATTTCAGCTCCACCATGACCACCTGCACCTCCGAGAGCGGAGCCTTCGATTCCGGACCCTAAGCCGATACCGCTGAGGTCACCACCGCTGATGGATCCACCGCCAATACCACCGCCGTTAGCACCGCCGCCAATAGCACCGCCTCCGATACCACCAGACTTTTGAGTCTGGTACTTGATGAAGTAAACTTCGGGTTTGGCCGGCTGGGTTGGTGCGGGTGTAGGGATAACGATATCAGCTGGTTCTTCGGGTTTCTTAACCAGGACGTATACAAGGGTCTTCTCTTCGTTTTGAGGTAGAGGGGGAATGATGGGCGCTACAGGTGTAGGTGGGGTTGGGGCCTTGATGAAGATGATCTTGTAGTGTTTTTGAGGAGGGGCAACAGGGACAGCTTGAGGAGCTCTCTGTTCTTGTGGTTCTGGGGGAGGCACATGGACATAGATATGTTTTTGTACAAGAGGAGCACCACTGGCACCGAAACTAGCGTCTCCACCACTAAATCCTCCTCCAAGTCCTGCACTAAATCCTCCATTGAATCCACCGCCAAGGCTGCTTCCAGAAAATGAAATACCACCAGATGAGGAGCCACCACTTAAGGATAATCCACTGGAAGAACTAGAAGAATGACCACCAGAAATTCCAGATAGGCCACTGAATCCTCCTAGAGAGGAAGATGAATAACCTTCAGATGGAATGTATTTGTTTGACGGAGCGGAATAGCTGTAGCCTACAGGAGGTTCGGGGCGGCCATAGGCAAGGGCCACACAAGCGAGGACCTAAAATATAAAAAAAATACTATTAATATTAATTAAATATTATTCTTACTTATAACTAGTATCTTATCCTACCGGTACATTTTAACGGTTAGTATAGATTTCTCAGAGATGAGATATTTTCCCGCAGTAAAACGTACCCTATATTTTGACCCGAATAAACTGCTATTATTATACCAAATTTCATCCAAATCTGTCGAGTGGTTTTCTCGTGAGGCGTTCCCAGAGAAACAGACAGACAAACATTTTAAAAACTAGATTCGGCCTCTGTATCGAGAATAATGACTATTTCAATAAGATTTTCCAAAAAATACTTAATATAGAGATTCGACTCAGAATTTTATTATATGTATAGATAGACAATATAATTCTTAACAAATGTTTTGACTCACATTATACAAATTATTTGAAATATATATTTTAAATCAGACTTAAGATAAACCGAAAATATTTTGGTTACTGAGTGACTAAATGTTATTTTGTCATTCCTAATCCTAAATTCATCGTAGAAACGCGATAGCTTAAACTAGAAACGAATCCCAAATATTAAATTAATCGAATAATGTTTATTGTTTTACTAACTTTCAGTAATATTTTTATTGATACTTTAGGCCAAAAGCCGGTTGGAAAAAGTATTTAATATTCAATCAAATTATTTAAGGCAAGTGACAAACACAAAAATAAAGAATAAAAATTAGAAATGATAATTCTATAGGAATTGTCACTTTATGTTTGATCAAAACAAAATATTTCATTCATCTAGGTTCTTTTCGTATATTTTTTTAAATGCGTTTGTATTAGGCGAATATGTATATATTAGTAAAACTTTGTGTTAAACTTTAAAATCCATGTCTGATATAACTTTATGTCACACACACACTATTATGTACAAAACAGTCCATTTTTCAGTATTGAACGTTATCACTGACCACTTCACTTGGAACACACATTGCCTGTAATACTTAAATATATTTTATGGGTGAAGAATCCACAATATTATTTTGATTAATATATAATATCGATCGCATTTGCCAAATATTTAGAAATAGGTACATGAATATATTTTAGCAAATAACGGGATTTCAAAGAATATCACGCGAGCGAACTTACCAAAAATGCGCGCATTTTGTGTATGAAGGTAACGAACGGCTTTGGTTTGAAAGGACTTGGCTGCTGCGATATAAATAACACTGTTTAAAACAACTCCAACTTTGGAGATGTTCTTGAGTGAGTGAGCTCGTGTTAACTGATGACATTCGCTCCGCCGACCCGCTCTTAAATACCAAAATACTCATCTCGTCAGAACTCTCCATCCCTACGAACATTTCACTCGGTAACGTGCAACTATCGTCATTATTTAACAAGTATATGTACAGTCCTTTCTTTTCGACGAGGTCCGTGGTCGACGCAGGCGCATTCGATACGCTGCCTTAGCGTCCACCACTCGCCTGCTCTCGGCGCCTATCTTGCGCTCGCCCAACTATACGGTTCATATTACTCTGTAGATTCACATGTTGAAATATCGATATTCTTTTTTATTTAGATGGTCTTCTTCAATCTTAGAGATTGTGCGTCCTTTACCTTCTAAAATGATTAGTAATAGGTATGTAATCACAGCAGCCAAATGCACTTGACACATATCCTATGCATATCTCATTAATTTTATACGTACCTTTATAATATGATTATCTAATTACTTAGATCAAACGATACAGCATATCAAATGTCGTTGTAATAAGATAATTCTCACTTCCTTCCTCTATTTTGAACATAGAATTATTTCCTTTTCTTCTAACATGGATAGACCTCATTTAATATGAAATAATACACTATAATTACTTTTATAGTAAACAATTAATTATACTTTATAAATAATTCTATTAATTATAGCAATGTTTGTTTTGTATAAGCATAAGAAATTTAAAATTATATTTACTGTGAAAGTATCAAGAAACTATGTCCTAATGAATTTCTAAATAAAATTGTATAATAATATTGACACCTTTATAAAGATACTTGATTAATATGCGAAAGATATGTATAATAGACACTAATACTTACGTACATAAGACGTAGCAGATACATTTATTACAGATTAAGGAATTGCCCAATACATTTTGTTGCGATAAACATATTGGCTATAATAAACTGTACAATTTAAAACAAATGTATTCACTACTTAAAAAATCAATGTTTTGTTGCATAACATTCAAACAACTTACGTATTTGGTTTACATTTGCAAATCTATTTTACGTAATTCCCATGCACGTATCAAGAATACTGACTGTTTGATTGAGATACATAAAATTTGAATGTCTGCGTAGACGGTATTCCTTTCTTTAGAGAATGAAAAATAATACAAAAAAACTAATGAACAAGAGAAATTATATTTGTTAATAAATTAAAGTATTTTAACTTTATTAAATATTTTGTTCTGCATTTTACCAAATCACATCGCTATCACAATCAACAGGGCTATCAGTATATGCCCCTGAATAATTACGTTCTGACGCTCTTTGTTGCAATAGAAAAAGCTTTCCTTTTAAATTTAACATTCCACATGCACTGCTGGATAGCTTCGCATCTGGCACACTTCGCAGTCTGATGTTAATAATTATTTTCTTCCACAAACAACCAGTAAGTAGTTGTAAAGCTTTGTGTTATTGCGAGAAAATATTTTGTGAATAATTTTTTTTTTTATTAATTTTTGAAATATAATTTTTTTAATGAATGAAATGACGTGAACAAGCTTTATTACGTGAAGTTAAATGTTTTCTTCCGTATGTCAATAAAAGATATTAAATATAATAATACCTACTAAAATTCATAACTTCATTAAAAGTAATGGCCTGGTCATGAATTCTTTATGAGAATATTAACAGTAAGTTAGAAGCCGTATAATTTGTGCAACCTATGTCAAAAACTCCAAAAAGTACGACACACAAAATGCTAAGCAAATGTAAAACACAACACGGAAATCCTTTTAAAGCCTTAACTTTACTGCGTGAAAAATTCTGTATTATGATATATAGTAGTCATATTTTAAAAGCTTTTTATTCTCTACTAAAAATTTAGCTATAATTTAGTTTAGATTGTGATGTGACCTATAGGTTCATATAATAAAATTGTAACTAAGCCGAATCTGTACATTAAATATGTTTTTGGAAAATCTTATTGAAATAGACATTATTATCGATACAGGGGCCAAATCTATAATTTTTAGAATTTTTGTCTGACTGTCTGTCTGTCTGTCTGTTACGGCATCACGGAAAAACCACTGGAGGGATTTTGATGAAATTTGGTATGATGATAGCTGGTTATCCGGGTCAACATATAGGATACTTTTTACCGCGGAAAAATATCTCATTTCTGAGAAAAAATACAAAAACTGCAATGTAAGAGTATACTAATATGTAAAACCTAAGAATTTGGTTTTTGGTGATCTGAACGCGGACGGAGCCGCGGGCAATTCTAGTTTATAAATAAAATGACTTTTTACTGTCTTTGCTCCATAAGCTTTACAGAGAGTAAACAGATTTCTCTTTCCGACCACCGCTTCTCATCAGTTTCAAAACATGGTTTAAAGCTTTTTCTTAATAACCTATATAACGTATTTGATGTACCTACTAGAATAATGTAGCTTACTCTGCCGGAAATATTAAGAGTCATTTCTGGGTGGCGTATAATATATAATATGCTATTAAATTCCAACGCTTTATCCTAATACGGCTAATAATATCTAATATACATATATAATAGCGATGTTTGAAATAACCAAAATAATAATATTTAGCAATATTTGAATAACAATATTTAGCGATATTTGAAATAAACAAAATAAAACATATCAAAAATTCATGATTGATTTCCATCAAATCGAATTTATATATTTTCTATTTATAGCAGTTGTTTTGGTTTAATCACGTACATATATATATATATATATATATATATATATATATATATATATATATATATATATATGACAATACATAATGTAATAAAATACTAACAAATTCAAATCTGCACATGAATTAATATTTTAAGAAACTGTGACTTATGTATTGCCCCCAAATTAGACCCCAAAGCAATCCTTGTTGATATTTTTGTCTGTTGTCTGTTTATTCTTGTGCATTTCACGCAAAAATTACGAATCATCTGATTTTAACTACAAAATTTTTAATGAAATTTTATTACTTAGGTCATAACTTAGTAAAAGTTTTACTACAGCAAAATCTCTCTTTCCCGCGGGAAAATACAATAACGGGGTTGGCCGAGTTGTCCTTCATACAAAAATGTCAATTATTTATTACATAAACTATTAGTAGTAGTTAAATAAGTTAAATTAACTTGTTTAACAATATAGTGTGAAGGCGCAAGTCACTGATCTATGTACATTATAATATCTATATCTACATATATGTATGTCTCTCTCTGTTTCTCCGTTTACTTCTTCTAGAGCGCGCAACGGATTTTGATACGGTTTGGACTTATAGTAAGAGTGATAAGCGAGGAAGGTTTGTACATATAATTAGTAAGTATTTTGTACAAAATGTGTTTAGATCATTGTTGTTTATTATAAATTATGTCTACATGCATCTGGTCACAAGTATATACGCAAAAGAATCTAGAGTACTGCAATGCAGAATCGCCCGCAGGTACATAGTGTGTGGGAAAATGTGAATATTTTCTCAATTTTAAACTTTGCTTGAAAAATGTATATACAAGTGAACAAAGAAAAGAACAGATTTTTATATTATAATAAATTCTAAATGTAGTTTACATGAGCATAGCCTTAAAACTTAGTACATTAAAATTTAAACATAAGGCACAAATTTTGAAAATTCTGAAAATTGTTCTAAAGTTTTATAAACTATAACTTAAGAAAAGCAAAATTTCAGATAAAATACTTTAAAGACATTTTATAATGTGTCTTTTACTCTGTGTATTTTGTAAATATTAGATGAAAAGACTGCGTAAGGTTGAGCGTTTTTTTATACTAGATCTTTGGAAAAGCATCCTTCAACACCTATAACTTTGTATTTATTAAAATATTTTATTTAAACATTTTTACTACTTACTTTATAGTATAATTGATAACCTCTAATTAAGCAACAATATGCAATTAAAACTTTCCTGGCACATTTAAGCAAAGGTGCCAAATAAAATATGTATGAATTAATCAAGAAGACCACGAAGGTCAATATTACGTTATGGTAGTACAGTAGGTAAGTGCCTGTTATTGAATGGATTTTAATATTCGAACGATCTCCAAACGAGCAATGACACACCACTAGTGATAGTAGCAAGGTCAAATATTATATATTTATGTCATATGTTTAGATACTTTTATATATTCTATTAAATATACTATTCATGTCCTTGTATATTGGAGGTTAAATGAATAATAAACGATGTAGTATAAAAGACTTATTTTCAAGCTATACGCTATATCTGAAGGTGTAACATAAAGAAGTTATTATTGACAAAACCTGCGACTTCAGTCGTTAGAGTTTTAAGTGAAATATTTTTTCTATTTTCATTAAGCTTTACATCCTTAAATTAATTTCAAACACATCTAATTGAAGCGTTATGAGGTAAACTAAACAAGATAATACGAGTTTACTTACAACATACATTCAAACACTCATTTTTTAGTATTTTAATAATTAATGGTAAATAGCAGTATGAAAGATATAATATAATTGATATTAATAAAACCGGCCAAGTGCGTGTCGGGCCACGCGCAATGTTGGTTTCCGTAGTTGGTCATCACAATAATGCGAACTAAGAAGAGGGCTTTTTGTTGTTTCATACTGTGAACATTTTACGTTAGCGGCTTCGGTGGCTCATTACGTCTAAAAACGATAAAAATGTTATGATTTTATTTTTGAATATTTTCACATGGTTCGTAAATTTATATTTACTCGTACTACCTGTTTTACACAA